ATATCCCAGTGTTATTTCTATAACTGATCTTTCCCATATATGAAGAAAGTAAGTACAAATGCATACATAATAAATAGAAATACATATTTAAAATAACACATGGAGTTTTCCCAGCAAATTCCTTCCCTTAGCAATCAAAGTATTTTTCAACTACAAACCCAGATCTGAAAAACTGCAAACAATTAGTAAGGTGAGACACAGAGAGTGATTTGTCCAAGGTTAAGGAAGAAATCTGTGGCACAGTAAGGAAGTCCTATTAGATTACTTGCCTCTTCATCTTATTCTTAAAACCATTCTTATAAGAGATTGATGAAAATTAATCTCCATGGATCCACGACACCATTTAATGAATCATACAACAGGAAAAGCCTACCTCTGGAAAAAAATGTCTTTCCTGTTTCAGTAGTATATTTGTAATGCACAGTGACAGGAGAAGACTGGAAAAAGGGACATTTCTCCTGAGTAGGTTGATTAATTAATATAAGTTGCCTGAATTCAGTCCAAGAAATCTATGTCAAGTAGGAATCCTGTACTGCTTTTCTTAACTGAGCTTGGAGCAGTCCCCCAAACACGTTATCTCAAGAACACAGAAGGAAATCACAAACCAGGTAAGAAATTGGCCTTTCTGAGCAGTAAAGTCATCCTTGATGCAGATCATGGGCCAAAGGATGGTGTTTATCAACTCAGGAAATGGGGATGAGGAGAACATACAATATAAACATTATCACAACTAAGAATAGTTGTTTTGTCTGGAAGAGGTGTTTCACACTATTTCTACAGTTATATTGTTTCCTGTTTGATCAGAGATGATTCCGAAGTGTAGGCTTATATCCAAATCCCCAGTTCTCTATGGCTTAGAAGGGGTCAGAAATGAGGTCTAGTTCACAGAGGTTCCTGCTAGTTAATAAATTCTACAAAGGTTAGTTTGTTAGGGACAGCTGAAATCATTGTGGTTTTTTCATTTAAAAAAAAATCAAATTGCAAACTGTTTTGGCTTTAAACAAAAATTGGCAGCCTTTAAAAGCCAGCATTAGAAACTAGATAATGCAGAAGTTGGGAATATTATTATCTGAGTTTCCTAAACCATAAATAGATGGTAATTGAAAAGGTTTGGAAAAGATTGCATTGTATCCATTAGTTTTTTCTACATAATCAGTATGGGTTGGTACCCATCATGCTCCATACTGCCACTCAGAATATTCAGTGGCTTCCAGAAATTCACATGCTACCACACTTTGTAAAAGTCCATTACTTTTTGACAAAGTAGTTCCAGACTAACCCAGATGCTAAACCTTCTTGAAATGTTGTCCCTTCAGTTAACTGTACTGTCTCTGTGCCATCCAGCATCATCTGCAATCTGGCACTGCATAAAACATCTTTCCCCTATAATTTTTTTACCCTCAAAAGTACTTTCTGTGCTCTACATTCCCCATTTGACTAAACTATATAATTTTTCCTTCAGACCTCTATGGAAAGGGCTAAGCACAACAGAACTGAGGAAGACATACTACATTTAATCAGAGTAAGAACATAATCCAAATTGGAAAGGACTTGGGGAGGTCTCCAGTCCAAGCTCTTGCTTGGGTCAGGTCAGAGTCATGTCTGAGGTCAGAGAGGTTGTCCCTGGCTTTATATAGCAGTAGCTTAGAAACGTCTAAGAACAGAGCATGCACAATCTCTTCAGGCAACCTCCTCCACTGCCTGGCTGTTGTCATGATGAAAAAGATTTTCCTGATATACAGGCTGAATCTCTCATCTCTCATCTGCCCACCACACACTGCTGTGAAGAAGTTATTGTGTTGATAACCTTCCTGTAGGTACTGGAGGGCTGCTGAGGCTGCCTTTACCACAGTCTGTACCAGCTCCTGACCTTCCTCCAGCCTTTTCAGCTGAGGTGCTCCAGCTCTCGATCATATTTGGCAGATGATTAAGCTGACTTCAGATATAGAGACAGAGGAGATTCATTAGTTCAGCCCTGCAATCAGATGAACCAGTCCTGGGAAGAATGACTCAAGCAAGGCCCTCTCACAGTGTTGCACATTCCATATGATATGTCAAGTATATGTATATAAGTCAGTTCTAGAATAACTTCATGGAATGAATATACTGAATTATATATGTGAAACATTATCCTAATCACTGAACTGCAACAGAACTACATTTTTCTTCAAAATGTTCTCACAATCTTTTATACAGTCACTCTTAGTCAGATACAATGAACTTCCTTTTTCACATCCATTCTTGAATCTAAGATATCTTGATACTAGTAGCAGCAGTGTATATGTGCATAGACATTTTTCATGAATACTTGAAACAAGAGATATCAAAATGCAAGGTCTCTTTCTCTCCTACCATAAATATACATTTTGAAAAGAAAAATTAGTAGAAATATGGTTTTTGTAATTCAACTTCTCCCATTCCTGTTTCACCACTATCCGATGATAAACTTATCAGCACACAGTATAACCTCAGGCTGGGAATCTTAAAAACTGCAAGGGGGAAAACATACACTAGGTGAGGGAAGAACCAAATTCAATAACCATATCAAAAGATATTTAAGCAAAGGAGAAGCATGAATTACCAAGTCCAACCTTAAAAATGTAGCCTACGTTAAAGTTAATGGCAAAATCCCTCATAATTTCAAGCTGCAAGATCTACAATGGAGAATTCACACACAGATTTGAATGAACTCTTCAACTGGAGCCATGCCTGGAGAAGGACTACTGCAAATCAACATGCTAGATGCATGCTAGAGCTGAAACCTGCCAGCATGCTATCACTGAATAAGTGCATGTCACTGCACTCAAAGCTTTACTTGGCAGCACAAGTCTGACCTCTGTTAAGAACCTCAAGTGTGATGTTCAATTCAATTACTAAAAGACACATTAAAATCTGACTTATATGGTTAAGAAATAACAGTAACCTATTTTTATTTTGGGATCAGAGTCTCCCCAGTCTCTTTAAGGACAGACATTTTTAGCCTATTCAGTTTCAACATTCAACTTAATATATTAATTTTCCTTAATAAGCAAACCTGAGGCAGAAACTGAGAGCTTACTAAAGCTGTTCTCTACCAATTACAAGATATTAAAATATAATCGCATTGTAAAAAACCACTATTTTAAATAGTCATTGAGAAGAAGCTTATCTACTGGAGGCCGCCTCTGCACACTCTTCCCTGTGCTCTTCAGGTACATCATTGAGCAGAATAAATCCAGGATACTTCCATTACCTACCATCAACAGCGGTCAAACCCACCTATGCACTTTAATTTTGGGACAGAGCAATGCACTGTCTTTCCAGTGATATCAATAGGTCCATTCTACTCACACTGAGTGTTCTTCACCCTTCCTTCCCCTGTCTCTCCCCTCCTTATCCTCCCATGCTAGGAAGGGAAGGAATTTTACTCTTCCTGCTCAAATATCCAATAATCATTTCAGCCATCTGCTTCAATACAAGAAACTCTTCATAGAAGTCCATCTAAATGGCAAACCATTAGAGATTAAGATGATTTATTTTAGTTTAGTGCAGTGTCACTAGTTTAATAAAATAAAAAATAACTAAGGATTTGGGAAGTACTATGGCTTACCTATGTAAAAACTCACTTTCTTGCCAATACTTTCTATCGCTGCTGACAGACATTAGAACATTCCTTTCATCTCTTTCCTCTTCTTGCAGTTTAACCTATCCCCTTGAGGAGTATTTGCTTTCTCTAAGATAGATTATACACTGTATGCAACATGAAAACCTTACACACTTCCTCTGCCATCTGCAAGGCTTTTCTGTCTATTTCTTTAAAAATAATTAAATCAAAATCTCTTATTTGTCTTTTAATTTTGGATAAATAAACCAGGATTGCCTTTCTGTAAGAAAATTAAAAAAGGGATTACTATTTCCAGATATGTGCATCTAAATTAGAAGAATTTTTAATACAATCAACCGAACATCCAAGTCTAGTGAGACTTGGAATGTAGAATGCAAACTGTGTTAAAGAGCAAATACGGAGCATACACATAGATGCAGAAAAACACCCCCTCTATTCATGCAGAAAACATGATCTAATATGGGATTGGTTTCTTTCAAATCATTCTTTCTGCATCTCAGTGTGATTCCAGGATGTGCAAATTAAGATAAATTTTATGAGTCAAATTCTGCATAACACTACATGTGCTCAAGTCAACTGAAATTGATGACAACTGGATGCTGTGTCAGAGGGTAGAATTGGAACAGAAAATCAAAATGTAAGTTCTTATAAAAACAGACATGACATGGTGCTTTGAACGAACAGAGAAACAATTCTCAATGTGGCCTGGGAGAGAGAAAAGCATAGAGCAGCAGGAAGAGTTGACCCAATAGCTAACAGATTATCAGACAAGGATCAATCGTCAAAACAGAGCCAACTGCAAGGATCTGAATGTTCATAATGGCTCTGGATGAATCTAACATCATTCCATAGCTAACTCTAATGGAAGGAAAGCTACACCAGCTCCTGATCCATTTAGAGCTTAAAAGAGGAGGGACTAATTTAGTACTTCTGTATTCTTTGGAAATACAAAATAGCTATTTAAGACTTCATCTTGATCTTCATTAAGTCTTCAGTATAAATTTCCTTCCTCTTTTGTCTTCTTTTTTTTCTACAACAGAAATGTCCCTAAAAGAAACCTGTATAAACTTCAAAATATACTTAAATCAAAAAGAAATTCACATATTCATGTAAATGACTTAGCAGTAATATTTCTAGCAGTGGGAGTTTGCAAATACTATCAAATCTATGTTCATGTTTTATGACAACTGACCGATGGAAACCAGAAGCTATTCTAACACACATTTTAACCCATTTTTCTGCTACCGGAATGACTATGAGCACAAATGTCAGCCTGGATAAACTTCTGTCCATTTGACTGAAATGTGAAGATGCATCATGTCCTCAACTGAGTTCCAGAAACACTCAGGATGTCATGTAGCGTTTAATTTAGAAAAAAAAGGATTAAACATCTAACCTGGAACAGCGATCCTCCCAGCTGTTGGATGATTCATTTCCATCACAAGTCCATTGTGCAGTACCTAGGAAAACAAAACAAAACAAAACATACATGTAATAAAAAATATAACCAGTTCCTAAACTCGAGAGGAAAAAAAGAGAAAAACATCATCATGTTCTTTCATAGACTAACTGAAAATACAGGGAGCTACAACTCAAGTAGTTTGCTTAATTTGTAAAATGAAAGCCCCGATGTTTGACACTACTTTTTATTTATGCATCTAAATAAATGCTTCAGTAAGACTGTACATCTCTAACATATCTTTAAGTTCTTATACCCGATATCAAACATAAGAAACTGATCTGCAAGCATGTTACACTTTCAACCACCAAGAGGCAACTGGTACCAACACAGACTGAGTATTAAAACCTTCACACAATTTCATTTCAATCTATAATATGTAATAAAGGCCTACACATAACCTATATTCTCTAGTTTATTTTTTCACTGTTACTCAGTTGCTTTTGAGCTCGTGATGGACCATACTGTGAAATGTTGTCTTAATAGCTTTTACAAGGATTTAGGAAAGATAAAATAATGTTGATGGTTCTTCTGCTCTTTTGAGTGGGTGTGCCATGCTTCAGCCCTGTGTATATCTGTATGGGATGATCATTCATTGCAATTTTCAGCTCCTTGTTATTAACATCAACCAAAAAACAATATGTGATACTCAAGTAACAGGGAAAAAGAAATCCATACTAGCAAACTCACTGCTCTTGTTAAGAGACTTCTGCATCCAAAGCCAATAATCAAGTTGTATAATTTCCTTACCTGTTATTCTGCTATCCTTGTAATGGTGTTACCTTAATCACATAATCAGAATTCTTAAAAAATATATATTTATTTCATTATTGAAGTATCTTCTACAAATAGAAAGCCTCAGAATATGCAATTATTTTTATATCCAATATAACAAATCTAGATTGTCTTGCCAAATGCATTAGCTGCAGCAAATGAAAGATGGGCAAAGATTATTAAGAGATCATGTAATACATCTACCTATTCACCTTGCACCATGAATAACACTATCAATCTTACCTATTAATGACAAGTGTTGGTCTAAGTATTCTTGAAAATTTCCAGTTAATGAGATGAGCATTTTCTTATGTAGTGTGCATCACATTCTCTATTTTTATTATTAGAATTTTTTCTCCTAATACATAATCTAAATACCTTTGCATGGGACATCTTTATTCTTGTTTTTTCCCCAAGTGGACACAGAAAGCCAATCACTAGCATCTTTATAACATTCTTTTATGTACTGAAAGATTGTAATCACATCCTCCCTCGGTCTGCTCTTTTCTAGACTAAACAAAACTAATTCCCTTAACCATTCTTTCCAGGTCAAATTTTGTGAACCTTTTATCTGTGTAGAATAGCCTGCTTAAGAAATTCCCATTCCTGAACAGGTGGTGTCAAAAGGTCAGGTCAGCTTTCTCTTTGCTTGTGAGGTAAGCCTATTTAGCTGACATTTAGAAATCCAGATATTTCCGATAATAGATGCTGGTGGAACAATGTCTGTTCAGTGGTCTAATTGTTTGGTGGTATCCCAAATCATTAGTTCTATTTCTCTTTCAGAAGGTTAACGGTAATTTTGGTAGACATTCAAGTGAGACATTCAGAATTTTTTCCCAAATGACAGCTTTAGGAAATATAATTGCTTGTTTTAACTCATATTTAGAATCTTTCCAGTTATGACCTTGATCAACAGTATTGAAAGTTTGGCCTCCTTTCTCTGTAACTTACTTACATGGGCTTTCTTTATGCATTTAATTGATTATTTAGGACTTGAATGCAAGAGAACACACTTATTTGAACTTGAAATCCACTGCACACTCAGGTGCACAAGCAGTTCTTTAGATGGCAAATTAAAGGATGTACCTAAAACTGGCTCCATTTGGTTAAAGAAAAACATACAAATTCTCTAGCAGGTACTCAGGGCTCCAAAAAACTCATGTTTTTCTCTGGTTTGGGTCTCTAAATTTTTATTCTCATAAAGCAGACTTAAAATACATTTAAAAGACTTTTTTTTAAAATCTTTTATTGTTCGGCTCAAGTTCCATGTCCCTTTTCTTTACAGAATGAACTACAAAAACCCTGAAGTATCTTTGATGATCACCAGTCTAACTTCTACTCCTTTCAAAAGAGTTGTTTAAGATGCAGTCGTCAAGCTTCCTTTCTATTTTCATGATAACTACGGTGTTGATTTTCCCTGTCAGATACATTCTTTACTCAAAAACACTTGCTATTACATTTATTTTCTACAGTTACTAAGCCGATATTGGTATACTTAGTTCCAACTTTTCTTTTGAAGAAAATGGTCCCCAAGTAATGATTCTGGTCAAAAACTGGGGGTTTTTTCCAACATCAGCAACACTGTTTAAAAGAACTGTATAATTTCCCATTCCATGAATTCCACTATTAGAATTCCCAAAAAGAAATTGAAAGAAAAAAACAACTGCATCAACTCTTCCTATGAAGGAAATATATAAGATTACTGCATCCTAGCCTTTGGGAGAATGCAGTGTTCACATCCTTTATCAGCAAAGACAAAGAATGTCTGAGGAAAAAGTAAGAGACATAACTCAAAGGCTTTTTCCTCCTTTGTCTTGTACCTTTCAGATGGTCATGATCTGTCTGATTGGTAGTCTTCTACTGTGTTTGTATTCACCTAGCTCAGCATAAGGAACTGACAAACCAAGACGATCATGTAAAAGATGACAGCAATTAGTAGATGAAAATTTTAATTTTTTTCCATACGGCTTATTTTCCAGGCCAGAAATACTAATCGATCTGTTAGTGTTCAAGATTTTCCGAATCAAATAACCTTGGGTGGCATTTTACATTGAGATCACTCTAAGGGAATCAGAAGCACAGTCCTCAGTCTTTCAGTAATAACTGTTTAATATGGATCAGGAATAGTGTGGCCAGCAGTACCAGGGAAGAGATTCTCCCCCTGTACTCAGCACTGGTGAGGCCACACCTTGAGTACTGTGTCCAGTAGTTAGAATTTTTACAACAAGTAGAATTAAAATCCCTTATCCAGCTGCTTTCACAAGGAGGATCAAATATTAACTCCAGTTATTCCTTGTATTGTCACCTTGTTCAAAAAAATTAACCATCTGACACTACTGTTCTGTGTTAATTTATATATTACCAGTGGGTATGTTCAGTTCAATATTATCAATACTATTCTTTGAGACCTAGGTATGAATATCTGTTTATGTATCTAAAAAACAGGAAAACTACATGCAGGATATGGCTTTGGAAAGTTTTTTTATCTTGGACACTTCACAACTTGTAAGAATATCTGATGCTTGATGATGGGTCGTTCCCTTGATAAATACGATAACAATACATATAAAAAAGGGCTCTTTTGATGAAAAGATTATAAGTAACAAAAGTTGTGAAACAAAATCATCATGAATATTATTATCAAAAAGATTAATCTTCCTTTCATCCCTCAAAATGAATGGCCTTCTTATACGCTATGAAAAATAATTGACTGTATTATTGATGGAACAGCACAAATGGCAGGTAGGAGAATCAGAAACATGGTGTCTGCTCTTTTTCATGTGGATGTTTGAGTGGTTGACCACATAATAAACATCTGGCAAATTCTGGGATCATCATAAAGTACATTTCATATCACATTAGTTCACTTCAACTGTGATGTAACTGATGATGCTTGTAACTAACCACCAGTAACAACACGGTTTCTCCTAGAACTGCCAGCAAGGTTTCAAATCTGTTCTACCTAAGATAGAATCAGTTTACAAATCCAAATCAAAGGAGATGCTGGAATCAGAAACATATCAAACCTTGTCAGCCCCCACCTACGCCCTTCCCTGATCCAAATTTTACAAGTTCTATTTAATGTAGAGCCATACATTAAAAATATGCATTTCTACAGGTTTCACAGTTTCATCTAGAGTTTAGTGAAAAGGATTTTCAGGGCCACAAAGGAAATGATGTAACCATTTTCTCCATATTTTTGTAGCCACAAGATAGCTGGCTGTTGGTAAATGTAGTTACTCTTTGTGCCTCCAAACCACAAAAAAATAATAATAGTTTTCCCTGTACGTGCTGAACATAGAGCTATGGCCATAATCATCCCCTGAAGAAGTAATAGCACGTGTTGTGAACACAAAGCCATATTGGAATTGCATTCCACATCCTAAAAGTACCTCTTTCCAAATAAAAATATGTTAACTCATTTGAAATTTGAAAAGGATATTAAACATATCCCCATCTGAAGCCTGGTTCTAGTTGGTCTTTTATTTCTAGAATGCTGTTACACAGCAGAATGGCTTGCATATTACCATGTTTCCCCTTCCCCTTTTTTCTATGCAACAATCCCAAGTATTTTCAAGTTCTGTTGTCAAAGTTGTCTTTTATCACTAATAACTTTATTGTTCTTCTTTCCAAACACAGATTCTAGCACACAGAGCTCATCTGGAGAAGGTAATATGATCTCTCTACCGTATCTAAGTATTGTATTGATGAATCACATATATCTCCACTTTACCTGCATCTACCTCTCATATTTGAAATTTATCACCATTTCATGTTGCGACAGGACACAATAATAATAAAAACTAGCTGTTGGCTCTTCAGTATTGAATTGAATTGTACAGTAGCCATGATTTTAACCCAAGAAGGTTTGTTATGATACAGGAGTTAAGAGTTTCTTACCTGCATTCCTCTATGTTGCTTAACTCAAGAATTTCCATGTCCATATTTTTGAACTAAATGTTTCAGAAAGGCAATCACTCAGAGTGATGAGAGACTGCTTCCCTTATGCTCTGTCCCAGTGTGACATTTGATCAGCTGAAGGTAGTTGAATTCACCCATTATTACTACCTCATTAGGCTTACATGATTCTTTGATCTCCTTCAACGTTTTGGACTCAATATCCGTTTCCTGATCAGAAAGTTCAACAGTATAGCCCTAATACAGCTCCCCCAGCTCTATGACCTAATCTGTCCTTCCTGTTCAGTTTATAGCAAGGTATTACACTCT